ACTGATATGGTTCTATTTATGAGGAATCAAAGCTTGGAAAGGTTATGTTTTGAATCAGAATCATAGAATTGTAGAATAATGGAGCTGGGAGAGACGTATAAGGCCATCAAGGCCAGCCTCCTGCTCAAGGCAGGAATCCCAATCAAAGCAGATCCAACAGATGGTTTCCAGTTTTCTCTTGAATGCCTCCAGCTTTGGAGCACTCACAATCTCCTGAGGCAATTGGTTCCATCGTCATACTGCTCTTACAGTTAAAATGTTCCCAGAAGTCCCCAACATAGCCACCCCTCAATATTGGCTAGAAGATGCCAGATTTACAGTTGCCAAAGTATTTTTTTTTAGTGTTCTTGTGGGTTTTTCAGGCTGTTTAGCCGTGTTCTGGAGGTTTTTCTTCCCAACATTTCACCAGTCTCTCTGGCCAGCATCTTCAGACAAGAGCTAGAACTCTGTCTGTGTTCTGGTGTAGCGTGTGGGCTTGTTGAGTACAGTATTTGTAGCTGTGGGATCGGGTTTTTGTTCTTTTCAGGAGATCGGGTGTTTCCTGTGATCTGGGTGTTTTTGTTATGGGTGTTTTGTTGTGATAAGGGGGGGAGATGATCTGTCACTGTGATTGATGGGTGTCGTTGGCTAGTCTTTTGTGTGCAGTGGTCCTTGTAGCTGGGTAGAGTTCATTTACCTTTTTTCAGACTGTATTTTTCATTGCTAGGAGCCACACTTAGTTGATTTTTAGACTTTTTTCTTTTTTGTTCAAGCTGTGCTGGTGTTTGTGGTTGTGGATTACTGCCGAATTGGCAGTAGCTAAATATGCCCTGAAACAAGCTGGACATGAAATCCTATTTCAAAACACAGAAGTCCTGGACAACACCAACAATCATTATGTTAGACTACACAGGGAAGCCATTGAAATCCAACAGTGACTGTTAGTACTCTTTTGCCATTACTAGATATTTATTTAACATAGAAAATATATCTAAAATCAATTGTTAATCCTCGATTTATAGAGGGGCAGGTACAGCCTGTGATGGCTTGTGGTAGCTTCTAAAAAGAAAAAAAAAAGAAGTGTGCTCAACATTAATCAGTCTAATATTTTGGAACAGCACTACAATGGCCAATAACTGTGTTTCACAGCAGTCAGCCAAGTTCAAGTACAGTACTGTACTAGGTGGAAACAGACGTTTTCAATATCCAAATGACTGCACCATAAAAAGAAGCAAGATAAGCTTTAAAACAAGAAAGTGTTTCAGGAGATTGAAGAAACCACGAGCTGAAAAGAAGTTCCTCTAGGCATAAGCTGTGTCATAACAGGCAATAGCTCAGTCCTGACAGCATG